CCCCCCGGCTCTTCGGCGGGCTGGGCCGGGGGCTGCCGCCCCGCGGGGCGCTGCGGCTGGACGGCGTGGGACCCGCCGAGTTCCGGCGCTTCCTGCGGTGAGTGCGCGGCGGAGGGCGAGGGGGGCGGCGGGGCAGCACTGCCCTCCGGGGTCCCTCCTCTTCGGTTCCCCCCGGTGGTAACACCTGTTTCAAAGCTTTCCCCCTCCAAGCCGTGTCCTCGCAGCCTTCCTGCGGCGCTTGCAGGGGACTTTCCTCCAACTCGCTTGTTTCCCTCCGCTGCCGGCAGCCCACGGGGAAACTCTCTCTAGCGTAGCGTGGCTTTTATGGGATGGAAAGGCCTTGTAATAGAACAAGAGAAAACGCAGCAAAAATCCTGAATGTAGCCTTTAAAATTGTCCGTGCCTACTAATGCCCTTGTGTGACAACATTACCTAATGAAAAACCAAAGAAAAACTACTCTAGTGTCATGTTAAAAAGTAAAAGTTAGGGATTTGGAAGCCGAGGAGGACTTCAAGTGAGACAAAGGTGCACCAGGAGGGTGCATAAAGTTAGAAACTGGTGTGGTCATCGCTGACGTCCCGCTGATCCGCAGCCTGGACCAAATAAAGCCCGGCTTTCCCGTGGCACTGGGATCCCGGTGCGAGGTGTGCCGCGCCACCAGTGCAGCGTGCGGGCTGGCACGGGGCCCGGCGTGTTTTCCCATGGCCAGCCATTAGCACAAATCTGACATCTCACTCGTCTTGCTCCAAACCTTGGGTGAGTACATCGGGGTGTTGCCTGGTGCTGCCGCCAGACCTCGCGGTCCTCCTTGCCTCTAAGTGCCTGTAATCCTTCTTTCAAAGAACTGAGCAGCGTTTGCTTTTCTCCAGCAAAGCCGTGGTGATGCCACCTACCTTCTGTAAAACAGGGCTGATGTTAGAGCTGATTGGCACTTTGGGACGCACACAGAAGCAGAGCAGTGGGCACTTTGGGATTTTGGATGAATTCAGGATGTGCCTAGAAAATGTCTGGCAAGGTCTTGAGAGTGTTGGCAAGAGGAAGGAGAAGGTGTTTCAGTTCTAAAGCTTAGTGCCTAAAATATAACCTAGGCTGACCTCCCCCTCACTCAGTCTCTCCTTAAATTTGTAAATAAGGCAGCAGATGGCTAGAAATATGTATTCAGTGTACTAAAGTTATCATAAGCATGAAAGAAAACATCTTGAACTGAGAGTAATATCTAAAACACGGTATTGTTGCAGTGGAAGAGGCTGATAAACTGTTAGGTCACTGTCAAAGTCTGGCAGGAGCATTAGCAAAACAAGTGGTAAGAAACAAAGCAGGTTTCTGTCCTGCCCTTTTCTTAGCGCCATTATTACTTCCATTTCATTAATTAGCTTTACATTCATGTACGTGGTGGTACAGAAGACTTTCATTCAGAGGCATGATAGTGCAAATACTAAAAATTCCAAATAATTTTAGTTTGGAACTGGGAAATAATTACTGGGAATAACCTCCTTATTTATATCCTGTTATATCATTCCTTTGTTTTCCTAATGTAAGCACTTGATAAGCCTAAAAATCACTAATACTTGCTTTCAGTTTTGTGTTTGCTGGAAGGCAAGTGATGATCCCTAGGGTCCTCCATGTTCTCCAAAAAGTGAAAACTGAAAAACACTTTTAAACTCAAAACACTCAAAACAGCTCATCTAATTATAAACCTTTTATCTTTTCAATTTGAGTTTAGATTCTTCAGGTTAACCTCCCTGTATGTTCTAAGCTACATATGAAGTGTATTTTGCAAGATGGTTGGTTCTTCTCAATTTAATCTTCAGTGGTGTTGAATACTTCAGCTTTTGAATCCTCTAAGATCACGTATTTTGTGAAAATGTGTGTAACAGAACGCACTGGAGTTGGACCACATTGAACTGCTTTGGACCAAGGAAAGGAAACAGCTTTTGTTGAAAAGAGCCTAATTTTGTTATTGGACTGATGACTTCTGCTAATATCAGTAGTTGTTGAATCTCAGTGGTTTCATATGATTAAGATGCAAATCAGTTAGATCTCCAAAAATCCAAAACAGAGCCTTAAATTACAGCTTGAGGTTGCCTTAATGGTGGCTTAGTTCCTGGAGCACGTGGATCCCCACAATGAGTCGTAGCAGAGACCTGTAGTTGATCTGCCAGGAGAAAGTTGTAGTCTTCTACAGAAGTTTTACGTTTTCTGCTTATAAATACTGTTTCTCTGTAGAACACACGTGGAATACTAGTGCAGTATTGAAGAGTCCATCAAAGCTCTAACAAAATCTCATCCCTTTTCCTGTTTGTGTTCAGATATTATTTTAGCTTCCCAAGTAAAAATGATCTTTCCTTGGGGATTTAGGGATCTTTTTTCTCACAAGCTGTGTCTGGCATGCATCTCAGTGGGACGTACTTCCTTTGGGCCTCTGTCTCCCTTAATGGGGAGACATGTAGGCTACATGTCACTTGTGTGCTGAAGGCTGTGCAGCTCCTCTTGCCAAAGTTCTGAGCATTTTTTGAGCAGGATGGAGGACATGGTGAACTTCGTGCTGATCTTTCTGCATAGCTTCAGCATGAAATAGATGAGCGATGGAGCACTGCTTTGTTTCCCTCCCTGTGCTTGAACTGTCTGGGGACACCAGCGAGAAACTGCTGGTCAGCAGGAAGTGCAGCATCCCTACTGTAGACATCATTCAACCTATGTTTTTTGCCTGATGTAGTTAATGTAGCATTGACTGTGCCCTCCGACAGCCTTCTGCCACTCTTCATAACACAACTGGAAAGGGTCAACGATTGCAAGTATGTCAATGGGAGGAGATGACTGCTCAAGCAGGGTTCTGCAATCTGCCTCAAGAAGCGAGCAGCTTAGCATCCCTGAAGGACAGTAGTCTGTCACAGATCATTAGATCGTTAATATCTTGCCTTTTGAGAGGCAAACTGCTTTTACCCCTTCAGTAAATATAGCTTTAGGAAATAGGAAACATGTAGCTTTAGAAATAAAAATATAGTTGCTATTGTCTTCTGATATTTGTATTAAAGGGATCTTATTTAAAGAAGGTCAGAGAAGGACCTAATGACAGCCAGATCCAGTTAAAAAGCAATAAATACAGATCAAATACAAAGGAATACAATTGTCATTGTGATGTTTACTGCCACGGGGGTTAATTTGCAGCACCAGCAGTTGATTCAAAGTAGACCAGCCAAAGCTTCGACCGTGCTATGTTTGTATAGTTCTGTATTGGGCAGCAGGAGGATGCTACATCTAGCTTAAGTGCAGACAAAAACATGCTTGAAGGTAAATTCCAAGGCAGCATGGTGATAGTAACTTCTTCTGTAAACTATACACATCTTTCCTTTGTAGAACAAATTTTAGGCTGTAGCAACCAGAATTAATACAACAGATACCCTATAGCATTGTTCCGGTTTCATCTGTCAGTTGTCACACCTCTTGCCATCTCATTGGTGCTCATGTTTGTCAGAATCTCTCCTGTGTGCGGCAGGGGGCAAGCCAGAAGGTGGGGTACCTGTTAAAATTATGTGACATCAGACTGACACTACAGCAGATAACGGCTTAGCTCTATTTTCAGCTTGACCTTCGCTTGCAGGTGGGGTTTTCGTATGGCAGTTGCACCAAACACAACACAACTTACTTGCGAATATCCGTGCTTTAAATACAATTCCCAGTTACGGTTCCATAGCACTGGATTACAAAGTAGTGAAAAAGGGAAATATTTCTTTAAACAACTTGTGCATGAGATTATTCTTATTGATTGCTAGATTGTCATAGTCCTTGTCAGGTATAATAAAATAAAAGTGACTTCTGCTTGTGTACACTGAATTCCTTTACGCTTACTAGCTTGCTAATATCTATACTATATGTATACTGTCCCTTTAGTGGGTTATGATTGGAGGCCGCTCGGTTTCAGAAGAATAGCACGCCTCCCATGTTCTTGAAATTTTGCAGGTTTTACAGTTTGAGCTGATATGATCATTCCTTTATATCCTCATCCTGCTCTTGCCTGTTGCTGTGGTGTACCCTGCCATGCAAGGAGTGTCTTCTCTGAGTGACTGATTTGTGTAACTTGAAAACAAGCTAACTCCAAAAAGGGTTTTCTGTGGCACTTGTGGGTGCACTTTGTGGCTCAACAACTATTCTTTCCTTTGCATTAAGACGCAAGGGAATCAGCAGCTGAAAAAAGTCATCCTTTCCCAAACAAACTGCATTAACAAAGCCCGCCCTATAAATATGGGCAACGTGGGAAATCTGATGTGACTGTCTTAAACTTTGTGAAACAATAAATCCTGAATTGTGGAAGTTAAAATGCTCTGTAAACGCTTATCTCCAGTGAATAGTGAAAACTGAGAAAGTTGAGAAACAACAAAGTGTTTATTGCCCAAGTTAAGGGGTTAAGGAATTTGCTTCTCTGAATAGCTAAGCTGTTCTAACTTAATGGCTTTTGTTCATACAATCATACTCTCTGGTCTGAGTTTGTTACTATAGCACCAATTTAGTTTGTTGTGGTTATAAATACGAGCTAAGCTAGTCATTGAGAATAACTAGATTTTGCTAAGCAAGGAAGGTGGGAGGGAGAGAAATAAGTAAAATACATGCAGCTTGTAGTTTAGATTTGATGGTATATCCTGTTGGGGGAAGAAAGCTTTCACCATGATGCCTTGTTTCTTTTGATGAAAACAGGCTTTAAACTCATGCCAAACAATGGCGACCTTATCTCCTTTCCACATACACAGAAACAATGAATTTGTCTCTTTTCTTATTGGATTTTTTGTGGTCTGTGTTTATATGTAATCTCAATTTCTCAGAGGAAGTTGAGAAGCTAAACTGTCAAGTCACAGTATGTTCGGTATGTGTGTGATATTAACATCTTCCTTTGGAAAACATATTATCTTGATGCTGTGGATTTATGCCTCGAGGAAAAAAAAAAAATCAATATATGTGAGAAATGAGTAGAAACCTTTCACTGGCACCTTGATTGCTTAAGGGCCAGATTCTTCTCCTGAAATGCTTAGCTTTCACAGGAAATAAGAAAATTTAATTGGCATCTGTGTGAGGCAGCAAAGCAGTTGTTGCTGCATCTCATGAGAAGAAATTTACTGAAATGCTTGTCCCAAGAAATCAGTTAAGTTAAAATAACTACCTTAGCTGCAAAAATCAAGCAGATGGTTCTTTTACCAAATATAAAGAGAAATAGAAGAATCTTAAGTGATTAGGTAAGTTAAAGTTGTATGTGTGACAGGCTTAACTTACATTAACAAAGACTCACTGCTATCTGTGTGTATTGTTGACATATTTTTGCAAGTCCACTAAGATTAAATGCAGTACACGAGAGTATTTGGCTGCAGCTGGGTTTCCTAAAGACCTCAGTGCATCAAAACCATGGGCAAGGAGTGGTTTGGAGACTTTCTACGTTCTCAGTGTTATCTTTACTACTACAAAAGTTAATAGATCTTGGTTTCGTTGAGGCATTTAATTATGATATCACATTGCTTTGGTTAAGTAAAACTGTATAATATGGTATTTTACACATGTACAGAAGATACTTCAGTGCTCATCTGGTTTCTGCATGAAGTTCTGGTATGGGCTATACCAAGTTCGATTGAAAACAACACACAGCATCTGTACAACTTGTAAATAAAGTGAAAACATATTTTTTTTTTTGTCTGTTTTCATTAATTGTATTATCCTCTATACTACCAAGTAAGAATCCTGTTCTGGGCATCTGTACTTGTCCCTCTATTCTAAAGTTACTGTGGTATCTCTTTTTCAGGGCAATTAAACCAATGCGCTGTCAAACAGCAGAATTTCCCCTTTTCATGTGCGTCAGGCTTTTCTGCTGACAGCTTTGTGCTATCCATCGTATTTGTGATGGAGAAGTTTCCATAGATAGACTTTAGCATTGACCATCAGTCCGTGTTGCTAGCTGATAGAGAGGGGGGAAAAAGTAAAGTTAGAAAAAAAGATCCTCTCCCTTGGTATTAATGGCTTTTGTTCAGTCCTGCTTTGTAATCTCGTTACTAATGCCCTGCAATTCTGGGCATATACACAACATATCTATAACAACATGTACATGATCCTGTCTGTTTAAACAGCAAGTGTCTAAGAGCACTGTGTAAGTGCTCAAAGGCACTTCTCTAGTGACAACCGTGATGCGTGTGTACATATACGTATGACTTTAAGGAGAACGTGGGTAAGGAGAAGCTGGCAGGCAGCTCAGCTCCAGACAGGCTGTCATTGAAGAACTCTCACTCAAGAGCAGGTGGAAGCTGCTGTAGGGAATATTTGAAAGGTAGATGTCCAATTCATTACGATTTTTTAAAAAATGTATTTATTTGGGTAACAACTACTTGGGGACAATAGGGGAGGTGTCCTAGCAGCTTTCAGTAGAGCTTGGTGATGGTGGTGGTAATTCCAGTGACTTTTGGTGTTCTCAGAAATAACAACCAAAATGGATTCCTTATGCTTTTAAATATGGTATTTCATTAAAATAAAACCAGCCCTTTTTCACTTCTCTTCTTATTTGTGGAGTCTCCATGGTCATTAGTGGCATACAACATTTCTGTTTGGAATTTCATCAATCTTGCAGACAGTGATTGTGGCCCACAGTAAGGAAATGTATAACTCGTAACTCAAAATTCTTTTTCAATCCAAATATTGTCTTGGGATTTTTTTGTGATCATGTTTTTTATATTTTTAGCAAGCATCAAAGCCTCCTACTGATTCTAGCCAGCATTGGCTTTGTGGCTGTTCTGAGAACAGAATTGCATGATTGTTCTTCTGGTGAGACTGTGGTTTTCAAGAGACTGTGGAGTTGTGTATCTACAACTGATAGAAATAGGCAGACCTTAAAGAGAGCTCTAAGGCTGAGAAGCTTCCCAAAGAATTTAGCCTAAATTATTTGGAATGAGAGGAGGTATAACTTCAGGACACCTTCAAAAACAAAACTGTGAATGAAATCTTTGGATGCACAAAAGTAAGCTTATTGGGCTACTTAGGGTTTTCTTAGTACTTTGCAAACTACCCACAATGTTCTTGCTTTTTTTCAAACTGCATTTTGAGATGTTTCCGTAGGCCATGTGTTGTTATAAAAACAAAAGAACTTTACATTGCTTACGTGTTCTAGGAAGCTGTTTAGTCACAGCAAGTGCAATCTAGTACTTTCCTGATGATCATTAGGGATGTTGGAAGAATTGGAACTTTTTTATTTTTTTTAGTCTTAGATTGTTCAGGTGACCATGAAAACTGCTTTCTTGTAAATACCTAACTGAGTTCAAAACTGGTTAGGCTGTAAGACCTCCTGATGATACCTCTATATGATTTTAAGAAGTTGTTTATAACTATAGAATTTTCATCTTCTGCACTTAAACTTACTAAACTAAGGTGTCATGTTGATGCCTACTCAAGAGATTTGGAACAGTATAAGCTATTCCTGTCGTAATTGTGCAGTAAGGCTCCTGGTCTCTTACAGCAGCTGCGTTTTAAAGAGATTAGTTTAACGTTATCACTAAAATGTCTGAGCTGTGGCTTTTTGGTGTGGATAAAAGACTTCTCTAGCTTTTGTTTATGCAGGAAAGTACTATTCGATACTCTGTAGAAGACAGTCTAGAAGACTGCCTTTAGAAATAAGCCTATAAAATAAAGGGTGTTACCAAATGAAGTTTTCTATAACAGGTTTTAGGAAGCTGCAGAATCTTCCATTCTGGAAAGAACATCCAATGAGATTTAACTGAGATAAAGAAAAACTGAAAGATGTGGTAAAAACATTGCTGTCTGTGAAGCGGAATAATGGATGCCTCTGTGAGTCTTTCAAAGCAGTAAATTTACAGTCTATATTAAGCAGGACTCCAATATACAGATATTCTGCTGAGTTTCTGGAAGTAAGACATCCAGGACTGGATTTTAAACATTAACTAAAATAATCAACGTTTCTTGACTTTTTACAGGAAGAAAATTATTTCAAATAGAAATAGATTCAAATAGATTTTTCAGATCTAGAAACCAGTTAGTTCTGGTTTAACAACATGCAACTTGTTTTAATTACAGAGTTCCTAGTTGTGGTAAGGGTGCCATTTTATTGACTTAAGCCCTCATGATAATAGAATTGCATTCCTGAGGTTTCTTATGTAGTTTATCTGAAAATACCCTGAGGATTCCCAAGAAGTTGTTGCCTCATTGCCTAGCTTATCAGATTCCCTATGGATATGTTTTTCAGTTACTAGTAGAAAGTAAGAACATTAAAATAATGAATTTATGGCAAAGTGGTGTATCTGTTGCCACTAATTTTCTTTCTCCCTCCCAAGTCAATTTGTGCTGTCTTTGCATGTTGAATATGTAATAGCTCTGCAGCAACAGAAAGGTAAGTGAAGTTACAGTGCAAATTTAATTAACATGTTAGGAATGACAGTTTTCTTTCAACAAACCCTTACTAGGGATCTTCCTGTGGTTTTTCACATTCAGTATGTGTTACCAGTTTACTTCTGTAATTGTGGTATTTGCTTAGATCTGCTGAAGATGCAGGGCATAAAGCTGGAATGATTGGATTTATCAGTACTGCCATTGTCTTATGTGACATTTCTTGGGAGCAACAACTTGAGGACAAAACTTCAGAATAGTTCTGTGGAATTTGGAATTCTCTAGGTTAAGTGGGTTTCTACTCTGAATTTCTGGTTTTGAGTCCTGCTGCAATAGAGGTGTAAAACACAGATGTTAAGTTACTGTAAATATGAAAAGCAGTAGGTGGTCAGGCCAAGCTCATCTGAATGAACTTAGGAGTTCTGAAAGTATATACAACAACCTTTAAAACCCATGTGAAGAGGGATCACCAATCTCACTCTTTCAATGTGAATTTTTCTTACTCCTGTCACGTTTTCCTGGGCCTTGCTTTCAAAATCTAATAAAATATTTAAATTCCCATTCCCTACATTTTGGTTTGTTGTCATTCTTTCTTGTTGGGAACATGTCACATACAAAATAATTCTACCTAACTCAATCCTTTAGATACAAGTTTAAGAAGGAAGATGATTTCTTTATATGTTTTCTCTGCACCTTTAGAGGACAGTGTTCAAATAGCATACTGAAATTACTGTGTTCCCAGTATTAACAAGAAAGCCTCTTTGCCATGGAATGAGTGACTAAATGCAGATCTGTATGTGCCTGCTATACCCAAAGTAACGGCAGCTCTTCTGTTAGAATTTGCTAACTTCATCTATATGGTATGAAACCACTGCTAAAGCATGTTATCTGTTCACATTGGCTTTTTAAGGCTTCATTAAGTTGCTGGAGTGCAGTATCTTTCTATAAATACGAGATCTCCGCAGTTGGAGACTGCAGGCTTTGTTAGCCTTTCCAGATCTTGAGCCAAAAATAAGCTGGTGAAACAGATGGGAAAGTGGGAAGCAGGAATGACTGTATGAGCAAAGTGAAGCTCTTGGGTAATCTTAACAGCAAATTTTCATGCTTTCAAGCACTTCCTTTGAAATTAAATTTTATATCTCTAATACCCTTCATTTATGTCTCTATACCACTCTTATGGTTTTGTACTTGTAACCTTGATGTTACAACGTTTATATACTTTTGGGTTTATAAATCTGATGATATTAAAGAACAATCAAATGCCTTTTCTTGGTCATACTAAGATTTATAAATCAATCGTTATTGATACAATTTTTTCTGGTTTCGCTGGCAGATAAGCTATAAAGAGCAGACAAAAGTTTAATTTAAAAAGTGAACTGAGGGAGAGAAACCTTTGTTCTTTTTAACCTGATACTATATTCTACTTGTAATGCTTGTTTGTGCTTTTTAAGCATTGCAGAAATAAGTTTTCCAGAAATACTGTTTTTAAAAGGATTTTTTTAATATTAAGCACTGTACAGTTCAGTTTGGTTTTTTTCTGGTCATGAACTTTGTTACACAAGAACAATGTAATTTCTTATTTGTTTTGATCTAATTAAAAATTGCAGGAGTAAATTTAGTGTCATCTTCTAGGCTTGTATATTCATCTGATAAAAATATCAAAGAAGAAGAGCTGGCTATGATGAAAAAAGTGTTGGAACCCAAATTAATACAAGAAACCGACACTGCTACTCTTCAGAACACTCAAACAAATGTAAATTGTCTTGGAGATGGTAAAAGAACACTTGTTGATCAGAATACTCAAAGTGGAGCTGTGCAGAAAGAAGATGAAATTCCAGAAGTAGTCACTGATGAAGAAAGCAGCAATGATCCTGCAGGTAGGTTTGGAATTACGCTTTTGTTTATTTTGTTTTTTCTTTTTTCTTTTAAATAATTATCAGAATACAGTGATGTAAAAATGCAGCAAGGATTAAAGCTGCTGTTATAATGTGGCTTACATGGGTATTCTTTGCTACTGTCTACCTCATTCTCTCACACTTTGGAAAAAAAACTAATGAATTGCTGTAGAAGTTTGGCGGGAGTGGTTCCCAGTTAACGTGTAGCATAATAAATCTGAAAGGGCTTGCCAGGCATCGAGCATGTTCATCAGCATCGTGTCCTGTCTTTTCTCTGTAATACAGCAAACAAGTCCTTACCATGTGAGGACTTCCACAGAGCAGAATCTCTATGTTCCCTTCCATTCCCAGCACATTGCGCCAGTTGTTTTATGAGGATTTTGGAATCTTTCAGAATCTCCCCTACTGCAACTGTGAATGAAATAAGTAACATGAGGAATCTCCCCTACTGCAACTGTGAATGAAATAAGTAACACGAGGAAACGTGTAACTGCATCCACACCAGAGGTGTTGGCTGCTACAGCTGTGTCAGGCAGGATCAAGCAACAAATCTGTTCAGGCAGAAGCTTGTAGCACTACAGGACCCTGAACTTCTTCAGAGTCTGCTTTTCTTTAATGCAGAGGTACTTTGTAGGAAAAAAAAATAAATATGAACTGGCTACATAATTTTATGAAGGAGTAACTGCAGCACTTCTTAAATAGATATCAAATACGAAGCATCGGTCAAATTTCTGGTAAGTCAAAACAAGAAGTAAAATGCAAGATCTGGAAAACTTTTCAAGGAAAATTATAGCTTGAGTATGCAATATTAAAAGTTTTCATTATGTCATATTCTTCTTGTCAAATATTTTAAGTTGCCTTTGCACTATCAATAGTCTAGTCTACACCAGACAAAGTGAAAATAGCTATTTATTCTCATCTGCAGGTAATTGCAAACTAGAAACTGCATCTCTGCTAGGAGAAGATTTAATGATGCTCTACAAGAAGTGCTGTTGTCCAGATATTAATATTCGCATAGAAGGCAAAGATTTTCAAGCTCACAGGTACCTAAGCGTTTACTGTAAAGTTTTTCCACAAAAATCCTTCCAGTATAAAACGCTGCTGGTTCTGTGTATCAATAGAAAGTTATTGCTGGCACTGTTACCAGCTATGAGCTGATAGTTTTTAGGTCTTATGTGCAAAGTCACCATGCTTTGATACCAGTAAAAATTATTTATCTCATTAGTGGCAACTGTTGTGAATACACATGTGTTTTTAGCACTTCTAAGATTTCCATTGTAAACTCATACAATGAGTATGTACTTATATATAAATACCATGTAGGTTTTCTTTGCTAACGTCTTTTTAAATAACTTGTGCTCTCTGAAGAAAATGAAAAATCTATTAAACTATATAGCTATTAATGCTGAACAAAATTACCACATAGGTAGAAAATTTCTGGAGTAGTAATTATATTTTTTTATGCTCTTCAGTATCTGTGCATACAGAATGTGATTTTTACTTTCATTACTTCAGTCATGTAGATGTAAAGATTGTCAGCAGCCTTTATTAGATCTAAAGTCTAAGACCATTTAGGAACTTTGGCTTATTGGACTTCTGTAACTTGAGAAAGCTACTCAAAGTGTTAGTACCACTCCTTGTACCTTTGATACGAGTGTGTTTGCACTTGAGATACAGAGAGATTATAAAAATTCTCCTCTGTTTTTATTATTTTCTCAACACGGTGGGGGGTTATATTGCTGACAAGACAAATGTCTTTACAGAAGATAAGTCATAATAGTGTGGGGAGGTTATTTTCTTTTTTTAAATAATAGAATTAGCATATATACTGAATTTCCAGAATGATGTTGTGAGAAACTTACTTAATCGCACCCTCAGAATCATTACAAACCCCTCCCGACCAACAATCAGACCAGGACCTAAATGTAGTGTAGTTAGGCATGTTTTTTTCTTCTGGTGTACACTATAAGAAGTCATGTTCTCAGGTTCACAACTTTGAGAAACATATTTTAATCAAAAAGATTCTATGAGCAGAGCTTCTTTAATTTAGACCACTCATTGCCTGGAGCAGTGTATCTAGTCTAACCAGCGTCAAAAAATACAGCAGTAAATCATAGAGAAAACAAGGATGTTCTGAGACAGGCAGAAGGCTTGCTTGCGTTAGTACTGCATCATGTGAGCAGTAGGAGTGAATAAGGGAAATCTAACTTGGGTATAATTGCCATGAAAGCACCAGTATGATTGAGTTATTTTAAGGGCGTTTTTTTGAAGTTCTCAAATGGAAGACAGTTTAAGTCTCCGCTTTCTCCCACCCACTTATCTTTCTGTACTTTCTTATGAAGGGCCTGTGAACTTCCAATAGACTTTGCAGTGTGAACAGCAGTGCTCTGAGAGCGCTGCCAAATTTGCATCTTCCCAGTGCTGTGTTGTTTTCTTATGGAGCTCTGAGTGGAGAAAGCCAGCAATTTGCTCAGTGATAAACTTGTGGCACAAACAATGCCACTAGGAGAGCACAGATAATTTTATTTCTTATTTGTTTGGTGTATCTGTGTATTTTATTAGTTAAAATTTTATTAGTGTATGTTTAGGTAATACGTACTAGTCCATATTCTACTGAGTAGCTGTCTTATTTTAAGTGAATCTTTGAAATATCCACCTCAACTGTGCCCTTGCAGTTGATCTAGGTCTGCTCATTCCTAAAATGTATTTGGAAGAGAACAGCAGAATTGGAGATAGTGTTTAATATCTCCATGATACTGTGTTTATTGTATCTTATAAGAACAAGATCTTGTGGATATTCGGAACTTCACATGCTCAAAGTTGTGATGTAGTATCCATTTAGATATGGACATATTTCGCTGAGATATGAAATGTTCTGTAAAAACTCCATTTTTATTACTGCTGGATGAATCACAGGAGGAACGTGCAAGAAGTTCCTAATTTAAAGTATTGAGACTTCTGAAGCAGGAGGAGGGAAGAGAGAAGAGATTCCAGAATATATAATGACTAGAAAAGAGTCCATAAATAGCATTTTTCTTCCTACGCAAAATGGGAGCACTCTGAAACATTTTAAGAGCCAACAAATACATGTAAAAGAAAGGATTCTCATGCCTAATAGGACACTTTGCTTTTTCTGCCACAGGAAATGCACAACACAAAGTAATTCTATAAGTAATAGGAAGCTTAGTAAGTGTTAAGAAAAAACTGTATATGTGAGAATATTATCTATGGCTGCAGGAGCGCAGATAAGATACACAAAGGCTAACACTATAACTGATGTATATCTGGAAAGCTGAAATCATAAAGCAATTTTTTCATCCACTTTCTTGTCTTCTCTTTTTGTCCTTTCACTTCCACCTTAAGAAGTTCCTGTTACAAAGGTCATTTCATCTGGCTTTTTGAAGGCTGTGATGCCAGTGGAGATACTGAGCGTCTGGTGTTTCCTTATTGCCTTTGATGGAAGTAGTAGTAAATCAAATTACCTCATTTATGGCCAGTTATGCTTTGTAAATAAATCAGGGTAATAAGTCTAAAAAGAAGTAATTGATAGCTCTTCTCAAATAGTGCTGGAAACACACATCATATTTTTGTATTATATGTTAGCATCAAGTTTTTTGATGTGTTGGTCAGTGGCCAGCCAATTTCAAGTAAGAGAAGTTTTATCCTTCTATTCATTTTAATAATTACACATTATGTAGTATAAAAGAATTTAAGAAATTCAGGATATAATTATTTGGTTAAAATGGGGCTGTATAAACAAGGTTGTTTACTGTTATTTGGTAAATAGACAGAAGAAATAAATTTGTCATTTTCTATAAAAGGAAAATGCTTGTGATAATAATTTCCTCTGTGTGAATGTCAAAGTCATACTAGAAACAAGCTTTAGCTGAGAAATGTAGAATACTGGTTTTTTTCTTTAGCATATTTTGAAATTCCAAACACAGTGGAAGAAAATGCACGCAGTATACAGATGACACCTTAATGCATATAGGGCAAAGATTTAAGTCAGTGTTATCAAAGAGTCTCATAATAAATATTTGTATCTTGTGGAATAATGTTTACTTTTTCTCTCTCAGGGCCATTTTATGTGCCAGATCTAGTTACTTTGCTGCTATGCTGAGTGGAAGTTGGGCTGAAAGCTCCCAAGAGCACATCACTCTTCAAGGGTAAGTGTTGTCTTTGCAAGTCGTGTGGGAGCAAAGGTAGGCAATTTAAAATCACTGCAAATATGTAACAACTGTGCTGTGTATAGAGCACTGAAGATTAATCTGCCTTGACACTTTTCTTCAACCTGATATATTTCCTGAGCACTGTTTTGACTTCAATATGAAATAGCATGTGTAGTGTATTTGTTATTATTGTCAGATGGCTCAGGGAAGACGTCTTTTTCATCAACGGAAGAGTACTAATCCTTTTTTGTAGAGTTTGTTTTAATATTCACAGTTTATTTTACAATTCTATTCTCTCACTTCATGTTGTACATGTCATGAAAAGTACTATGTATGTCTGAACAGTGTAATTTATTTTCATAACCATTTATATAAGAGTATACTTAAAATGGAAAGACAAATTATTAAATTTCTTAAATAGTGTTTAATAAAGATATTTCAGTATCATATGCTAAAAGAATTTTGACGGATGTGCTTGTTTGCGATGGCTTTCTGTGTGAGAGTTGAAAATAATTGAGCTGTCAGCATAGGATGAATATTTAAAAGTGTAGATAAACCAGGGACTGCCACATTAGTTCTTCTCAGTATCAGAAAAATCAATTGTAATATATTAAATATTCCTTCAAAGCAAACTAATACCTGTACATGTTAGCTTTTTTAGTTCAGGCGTGATGTTGGCTGACTCAGCTTTCTTCAGGAAGAATTGTGTACCTTACAGTGTTACAAATTGCTTTGTGTTAATATAAAATTGATTGGTCAAGTGATACTTTCCCATGTTTTCATAATTTTAGTTTTCTGTCAGTATATAATGTTGCTGCAAAATCAGCAGCAATTGCTAATTTGGCAGTTAGTTTACATAGTTAGTTTGTGTACTTTATAAAACTATACACTTTTAATTGATTCCTTAGTTTTCATACTGTACATAGTATGTTTTAAAGGCTGATAGTCAATTATTATTCTGGTATTTATGCTTCCCTCTCTGTAATTTCTTTATGGCTAAGAAATTTTTATCCCTATTTTCAGTAGAGGCTTTCTCCTAAGAAGTATTTAATCTTTATACGAGTATATTCTCATGCCAATGTCTCATAATTTCTGTTATTAAGAATCATATCTGTTTATTTTACCTTTTCTAGTTCAGTTTTCTGCTTGGTGCCGATTTCCGTGCTGTCTTTTAAAACACTTAAAATAAAGTACATATGGCTTATTCTGAAATAATAAAAATTCTGCCTAAGATAACAGCTGTTAAGATTGTGGGGAAACTCCTTCTTGCTGATTTTATGGCTATCATGTGTACTAATTCATAAAGAGACAACTGTGTTGATTTTGCTTCTTAGTGTGTTGCAACCTTTTTTTTTTTTTTTCCCCCTTTTGTTTTTAGTCATCACTGTCTGTCACTTAAACATGTCTAATGTCTTAAAGGAACTTAGCTCAATCTACTCCTTCTTGCTGATTTTATGGCTATCATGTGTACTAATTCATAAAGAGACAACTGTGTTGATTTTGCTTCTTAGTGTGTTGCAAACCTTTTTTTTTTTTTTCCCCCTTTTGTTTTTAGTCATCACTGTCTGTCACTTAAACATGTCTAATGTCTTAAAGGAACTTAGCTCAATCTGCATGACTCTATTCCGTTTATACTAATGTACACAGCAGTTAGGGGTTCTGAAGAGTGCATACTGAGATGCACATAAGTACAATAATGTATTGTTCAGGACATCGTGTCCACCATTTAAAACAGACATTCTGTGCCTTTCCCTGTTAGAGTGCTGGGACGATGTGAGAATGCAAACACAACTCTGTGTAGAAATTCCATATTTCTTAATCTGAATCAAAGCATAAAGACTTTTTCTAAATATTTTGAGATGCAACATTCCTACTTAGTGTTGTAGTAAGACTATTAAATGTTATTTTTATTGTGGAAAAGCTTAAATATATTCCTAAAATCAAGAATTAAAATCAATTTTTATAATATGGTTTGTAACTATGGTTGCTTAAAAAAATTATTTCTGAATATTATCAGTGTAAATAATGTAGTTACTAGTATTAGTCTGCTTATGACTTATTTTCAAAGATTTAAAGTATAACAAAGTTTCAGCAAGACTACTGAGTAGCAGCATTCACCCAAAATACAGTCAATTTAGATATTTTTACACTGCAGTATTTTTGAAAATATCTTTAATTTTATTAGACCGTTTACCTTTCATTCACAGAATGACTGGATGGTGTATCAGCCTTTTGACCAGCTTCCTTTGGCTGAGAAATGTGGTGGGGTGGGATTTATTCTGGACATGTTTTTACCTGTATTTTTTTTCTTTTGTTTTCTTTTTTTTTTTTTTTTTTCCCCGCATAACCCCTCCAAGTTTTTTGCCATTTTTTTTTTTTTTTTTTTTTTTTTTTTTTTTTTTTTTCCCAGCATAAGCCATGCAGAAATGAGTGTCATCTTGCATTATATATATGGAGGTGTTCTGGACTTCCCAGACAAAGTTGATGTTGGGTATATGTCAACTTTTATTATTTTTAATTGTAGTTTGTGCTTGTTCTGTATTTTCTTAGTTAAGTGTCAAAATGAAAATTCTTCATGTAGAATAAATAAGACAAAGATGTCAAACATAATGATCATTACACCTAAACATACTTGAGGAGATTCCAAAAATAAATCTGTAGAAGAAATCTTGTTTATTTGGCACCTACTGAAAAAGGTGGGACAGATATTTTTGGAATATTATATAAGGAGAATGAAATACCAAAATAGTTCCAAATTTTCCTGTACCTTCCTTTTACTGTTCAAGTTTTCATAATAATATGTACAGTGTGTGACAATATATGATCGTTATTATTTGGAATTTATTTTTAAATAATCATTTGAGTTGATGTGAAGGCCAAGTAGCTAGTCTTGGATCCATAAAAGATAATATATAGCAATCAATGTAAATGTTGGCATTTTCTTCTGGCATAGTTTTTAATGAATTTTATACAGAATCCTGAATTACTCAAGTAAGTTCTGAAATGTGTGAATTATCCCTGAAACCATTTAAATAGTAGCTGTTGAACACAATTAAAGCACTACAACTTTTTAGTATTAGAAATTGTTGTTCAAAGCGTATCTAAAATAAAAATATGGAATTGCTTATAATATGCTCCAATGTCAATGTTTAGGTAATGAATTGGGATACATAATAATCAATACCATAGTTTTATTTTCTAAAACAATTCATGGATTGCTCACTGTGCTTTTTAGTATTTGGAAGGGACATAATTCTCAGATACAATGTCATCAATAATATTATATGTAAGCCTTGGAAAAAAACCTACAAAATCCCAAAGGTCTGCTAGCACAAATATGTTTTTTGCTTGCTACCCTTGAAGTAGAGAAATGAGAGTCTCCTAAACAGTTTCTCAGCCAGTGGCTGAGGCTTCCTTTTATGTAGACTGAACCTGGTGGATGGAAGATTTTTATTAGGTCAATAAATGTTCCTGGTTGAAGATTGTTCTGTGGCAAGTTTCACACTTGGTTATTGATCTATTTCTGCAGTAAATTCTGACTGAAAAAAGCAGTGAAATGAGCATGTAAATTGTCTTGTAAGCAAAATGCATATACGAAAATGACTTTTGGTTCCTGTTGCTACCCTTTCTCTTTAGTCGCATGTTGAGCATTGCAGATATGTATGGGCTAGATGGGCTGAAAGAAGTGGCTATCTACATTTTGAAAAGAGATTACTGCAATTTTTTCCAAAAGGTATGTCAGTTCTCATGCTATTTTGTGAATCTTAAAGCCTAAGATTTTTCATTCTACTACTTACACATCATGTTGATGAGATACTTAACGACTGTGTGGTTGAGATGTTAGCTTAAGTCAACAGACCCTACTCCTATGTGTAAATCTGCAAAATTCATGGGGATTGATGATGGGAGTAAGGCCTGTGGTATCATCCACGTATTTATAGAAGTTTATAAACCACAAGTGACAAGAAGCAGTATTCCACATGATCAAGTCAATAGAATATAATTTAATACATTCCATTGTATATGTAGCTGTTCTTAATAGGAATATAGAAATATTACGTATCTGCATATCAGATTTCATGGGCATGTATTTAGCAAATATTTCTGTTCAATTGAAATTAGTTTAAAAACAAACAACTGCTTAGAATCGAGCATTTTAATGCATTAGGCTCACTAGGCTGAATACTATTTTATTGGTGTGTGGAAGCAGATGATTTTCCTATTCTGCATAAAGGCAAACAAATGGTAGCTAACAGTATTTCTGTTAGAACTGAAGATCTTGTAATTCTGTACAGTTTCTGTAACTGAGAATGTACAATAACTGTAATAATTTGTTAACAACTCTAGCCTGTTCCTGGAAAACAGCAACCTGTACTAGAATGCATGGCTATTGCTCATTCGGTGGGAGTGGAAAGCCTGTATGCAGCTTGCATGAAGTAAGTAACAAAATAAATTATGGTTTATATTTTTAATGTCTCTGCTTTCTGTTGAAATTACATTATTTTGCGAGATTGGGTTTATTTTCACATATAAAACGTTCACGTTTTAAACATTATTTTTTTTCTTCATAATACTTCAGAAGTATCATTGATGCTAACAAGATAGAATATTTTTCATCTTCCTTACCTAAGAAAGGCTCTTTTTTCAACAGATGGGTAGGAAAACATTTTGCAAAATGTTTGTCAGAGAGAAGCTTTGCCAGTTTACCTACTGAACTTCAGAACAACTGTCTTGTTATGTTGATTAAGTCTTTGGTAAGTAGTACATAGTGTGCTTTGTATAAAAATAGAGCAATGTAAATTTTTTCTTTATTTAGCTGTGCAGTATAATTTAAGGGGTAATTAATATAGTATTTTAAATCTGTAGTATGCTTAAGCTATGTAAAAGTTCCCATTAAAATAACAATTTAAAAACAGATTTTGATGTGCAGATATCATTGTTATGCTTCACGGCACACAGTCTAGTGATAATCACATCCACAAATTCATGAAATGCAACTGTGACATCATTGCGCAACATTATGTGTTCAGAGTGAGGAACAGCAAATTGCTGTATCAGTTCCTGTTAGGCGGGTGGCATACGTCATTTGTGGTGGCCTTTCCTCTTTGCCTGTATTCTAATCTGCAAAAAATATGTTTTTTTCAGACTTCAGGTGATCACAAGCCATTTGTTTACAGGCAAGCTGACTTTTCAAAAATAAAGTAACAGTATAGTATATATATCTTCTGCTTCTCAAATAACAGCACTGAATTGGTTCCCCCAAAGCTCAACATTCATTTTTTGTGGCACATATTTACATTGTTCCAATTTAGATCTGCCCCAACTTCAATACTTTATGATTGTGTTTCTGTATAAATCTACGCTCAGAACTGACTTAAAAGTAACTGATTTGAACTAGACCTGTTAACAGGAATTTGGTCTAGTAATTAGCTTGTAAATAAACACGGAATTGTAACAGAGATATGAAAAGTAGGTAGAGGAGCTAAAGCTAAACCTGTCCAGCTGCTGCCAAGCATGACTGTATATTTGTGTGACTGTGATGTGGATGGGCATATACACAGTTTAATCTAGCTAGCTCAGGTAACATGCATAGGATGATGTTGGTTCTAGCACACACCAGACAGCTATGTCATGTCTCACGCTGAAGTCCTTGTACCTGTGTGGTGGTGTTACCCAGTAGCTCAGGTCTGGCTACCCACACTGCCAGACATACCCCTCCTTCAAGAGATGCGCTCTTAAGTGGGTCTGGCCAAGAACTGCCCCTCACCGAAAAGGCTGTGAAGGCTTCTTGGGACTTTTTTTTCTCTCTTTGATGGAGTACTTGCCCCACCAAGCACTGAGGCCAGCAGGTCGGGTGGGAGCAGAGGCTGTTACTGTATGTTCCGATGAAAGCAAAAGATTTCAGAGCTATGTGGCTGTAGCAGGAGAAGCTTGAGAGTATCCACAGTAATAAAAACCAAAGTCTTTCTACCAGAATGCATCATTTCTAACAGAATAAAGAGAGCAGCTATAGCTCTTAAGATACTAGATCCTGCCATTATATTAGATCAGTATACTCAGTTGTTCATAGAATATATACATAGTTTTGTACACCATATATTGTATAAATAGTTGAGAAGTTTTAAGTAAGATTTTCAGGACTGTAGATCAGTTCATTCTGATGTACAGGTGTTTGTAGTTACACCACCACCCATCTCCAAACTAGCTCAGGTGTGTAGCATAGGCAAGAGTATATGTAGGCGCAATTCTAGGCTCCTGTCCTGGCGCCCTTGTGCAACATTATCAGAACAGCCTGAAGGTAAACCTAAGCCACTTCATGCCTGCCTGCCTTCCTTTCTGTGCCTATTGTAATCTGTCAAGAGGCCGTGGTTACAGTTTGTGTTGAAATACCTGAGCTATCTTTAAGCGACCAGCATTTGCAGAGCAGTTGTGGCACTGCGGTACCTGGCACTGCTCCAGCTGCATGCTCTGCTTCTCTGGAAGGCTTCTGCAGGCTGGACTAGCCTTTGTTTTGGTTCCCATTTTAATGATGTAACATTTGTGTTGGTGGGTCTTTGCAAGATTTACTGATATTTTATGGACTGAAGCCTAGAAAGCTTTTAGAATTGCAAAATTAAAAAAAAAAAGCATAAGCCTCTTCTGCCCACAGAACAGTTCTGAGTGATCATTTAACTCTGAGTTCTTAAGACACCTAGTCCAAAAGCTTGTGGAATTCCCAGTGGAGTTTTTCACAATCTGCAAAAATGCCTAAGGCTGCCTGAGGGAGGAAGAAGAAAAGGTCTAATTTTGGAGGGGCTACTGTATGTTTTACAGCCCCCTTTTCTCTGCTGCTACAGTTCTCCGTTGTAAAAGTTTTTAACAGTTACACTGTGACATCTTGGAAAAGTAAAACCTAGTCAATGTGGGGAAGCCCTTTAGAGGAAGAAAAGTAGGTTGCTGATGGGAAAATCTGTGGGAAGCCACAATGATGAACACAGAAGCATTAAAAAGGGAGTGCAGTTTAAAACACTGTTCAGGTACCAATCCCTGGTGTCTCAACTACATGCAAGAAAATTCCAGTTTTTTAGACGAGTAAAGTGGACTCCACTTTAGAATGGTTAGGAAGAAAATATAACAAGAGAAGTAAAATTCAGTTAGAGCCACTCTTACAAAGTGCTGATTTAATTAGAAGTCAATGAAGGAATGTTGTATTTCACTGGAAGTGTCTAATGGGAGTAAACATTTATTGCCTTGTGAGCAGGGGCTGAATTCTGGACAATTCAAAAAGCTTGTAATTGAGTCCAGTGGGAGCAAGATCAAACCATAAGCATATATTTAATCCATAATTTACCTTATATGCATAGAAGAAAAGTGGTTTTGCCCACAGATGAGTAAAATAATAAAAAAATATAGTTGAACAATGGCTGGCCAGATTTTATGTTTTGACTACAGCATGCATAAAGAAAATCCTCCCCGCTTTCTACTTTGCATGGGACAAACATGATTATCATCTGAATTTACAATAGGGGGCTTTGTGTCAAATACCTATCTGAATTGTTGCTTTCTCCAGTGTTACTGGTTTTACTGCATAATTCATCAGTGACCTGCTAGGTCATGTCAAGTAGAGCTTTCAGTCTGTTCTGATAAATTGCAAGTTCTTTTTAAGTGATGTATTAGCCAGTAGTAGTTGCCCTCAGGTACTGTTCTGATGCAATGCACAAAAGAACCAAAGGCACACATCAGGGGAAAAAATATTATGAAATATGTTTGCTTGTTTTAAACTATACACATAACAGCTTTCTTAGAGAAATATTAGACAAAAAAAGAGGGTAAGTTCAGTTAAAACTCCATTTGGGAAGACAAATATTTGATGTCTGACTCCTTTTAAGTAAAGCAAAAGAATTCATAACTATGAAAGAGTTTGGCTATTTATGTATCCTGAATGCTGGGCCGTCCACACTCACTTAAAACTTTCACTTACCCATTTTATTCAATAATTTACTACATATTTCAGTGACCTAAAAAGTTTTTCTCTGTTCAGTTTCTCCAGTTAACATTTGCCTTATTTTGTTCAAGGCTGCAGTATGTAATGATACACAATTGGAAAAAATACAATTAAACCTACTGAAAACTTTATTTCAGCTTCAGCAGGCAAAACAGAAGCAGTAGATTTTTCTTTTTCTGCTTTAGTTTCGAAGGTAGGTATAATGCTCAGAATTCTTAAAATCCAAATTTATTTAGAAAAGGGAAATTAATACATGATTGGAGCATTGTGTAAGTGTTCAGTAGCTGAACAGAAGCTATTTTACAAGCAGCAATTCTTTAGGTCATTACTTGGCAACAGGCTAATTTCTGGTTTTGTTTTAAGAACTACAAGAATGCTGCTTTCCTTTTGATGGAGAGTGACCGACTGATCAATAGTCTTCCCCAAGTGAAATGGACAGAGGCAGCTGTGGCCTTGGCATCTAGGCTACAAGAAGAATGCGTAACATTTATTGTGGCAAACTTCCTACACGTAGTGGAAAGTGAAGGCTTCTCTCTTTTGTTGCAGGTAAAATTGCCCTGAAGTTATTTTACGCTTCCAAATCAGCTGAATTATATCACACATTGGATGGTTCAGACTGCTAAATAATCAAAATGGCTTCAACTTCTGCTTTACAGTACAATTTTTGGAAAATTTGAAAAAAATTAGGCAATGCTAAGTTTTTTGTTGTTGTTAACAACAGTGTTGTTTTAAAGCATACTAATATTTTGATATATAGGGTTGACACTGAATTCAGGTTGTATGCCTTAGTTAAGCAAAAGTTCCAATGAATTTAGTGGGACAGTTTCTGTGTTGCAAAGAGATAAGTATATACATAAACTTGGAAGAAGCTTTCAAACCCCTAGAACACCAGCATGTACTTAGAAGAATGAGTGTACTGCTAATACTCATCATTAAACTTCTACTCATTTTTGTTGCGAGCTGCAAGAATGTGGCAAAGCTGCAGGTCCTGGTGAGAACATATCTACGTCATTTCTCCCATGAAAGATTGTTGGGTTTTTTTAATACATGTATAGAAAATTAAATAAGTAGGGAGAGGTTAAGCATTTTCTCTTTGAATCTAGAGTTGCATATGGCTGTAAATTCATCGCGGTGTGCCTGTTCCTAAAATTTGGGTTAGCAAGGGGCCTCGGGATGATTTGTTAGAGGCCTGGGGAGGGGTGGGGTTATGGAGTGGATACAAAGGAAGATGCTCAGCTTTGGAATACCTCCTGCACAGCATGACAGAAGATCCTCTCTGCTCTGTAATGCTTTTGCATATGAAGTACACTCTTTTGTTTTAAACGACTGCCTTTTGTTGTTTCCTCAGGCACAGGCAATGAGCAGCAAACCTGACCTTCTAGAACTAATTTTTAATGCAATTGAAAAAAGTATTAATAATGAAAATAGCTGCTTTCTTCTTGTAGCTGTGGATACATTGTTGGACTCCACAAATGTGAAGGAGATGGTAGGTTTTTTCAATGTTCAGTGTTTGTAGGAGAAACTCTTCTGGTATTGTTTCATGTAATGGTTTGAATCAGATGGTGTGATTTGAGCTGAGGTGGGTCTGTCCTGCAAATTGGGGTCACACAGAAAAGCACCTGCATAAATCCAAAGGTGCTGTTGAAAGTGCAGAAAATATTGGCACTTGTTTACTGGATATGATACTTTTTTAAAGAGAATCCCTGTCTATGGCAATAAAAAAACCTGTGTATTACTGAGAACATAAGTCACATGGGCAACACTGCTCTGTTGTTTACTATCACTTTAAATTTGGGATAAGAAAAATCTTAGCAAAATATTGCATTACCTTAAAAATACAGGTGAAAAGACCATAGTCTTTTTCTCTCTAGGTATCTTTTTCCCTCTTTTTTGTGAAAGTCACAGCTACATTTGCTTTTGTTTAAGACTGTCCCCTGAAGCAAGAACTTCCTCTTAATGTAATGCGTGGTTTTTTAGGATTGGGGGGTGGTGTCAGTCTCCATATGTGTAATATGCTGGGTACATTCACACAATCTAAATAATGATATTTAAGCTGTGGTTGACTGTAGTGTTGGGGATAATTCACGAATAATATGACATGCTGATTAAAATCCAGAATGATGCTTCAAGGAAAGAATTAAAAATAAATGCAAAATGAATTACTGCAATCTGGTGCTATTGTAGATCTTCTTGGTAAAAGCAATGAAAATTTAATCAGATACATTATTTTTCCCTAGAGTATTTGACCTTGTTGTGACACAGCTGACAGTAAAGAGCTATTATGGGGCTCATTAAAAAAAAAGGGGGGGAAAAGAAAAGGAGAAAAAAGAACAATGTGGTGTTTTCTAGTACTCTAGTATGCCTTGCAGTGACTTGGTTTTAAAGTATTTTAAAAATTACTGTGGTGAGCAATAATTCTTCAAAAACAGCATCTCCATCTACCAGGCCGTTATAAAATATAAGTGATGACATCATTGATCTAGCTTAGGGAGTAAGTAGATTCTGAAAGGAATAATGACTGGTTGCTATGACAATATGCCCCTCGCCAGCTGCTGATTTGTTACTTGAACACAGGGTTTTACGTGCAAGATCCAGGCTCTGCGTGATAAGCTCTGGGTCTTCCTGGTTCAGTCTTTTTATGCTGTTCGTCACACAGAAAGCTGGAAGCTGATGAGGCCAGACCATCAACAGAAAATACAAGCAGGTATGTTGGCATCAAATGGCATTAGAATTTTTTAGCAGTCTGTTTGGTAGATAAAATGTAGGTGGTGTTGTGGAGCCAGATACAAATTAAAGCAAAATTTGCGATGCTATAGCTTTTTGAAGTGGTATTTAAGAATAGAAGCACGATAGCATGCTTAGCTGGTTGCAGACATGGAAATCAGTAAATAATTTTCTGTGAAAAGTCTCTTTATGCTTTTTATTTTTAGGAGTGTATATAATAGGAACCAAAACCATGTAGATGGACTGTTCTTATTTACAGCTGGTCTAAATTATTGAGAATACTGCAGTAGGATTAAAAACCTTATCTGTCTCATTTTTAAGGAGATAAGCGCTGTTGGATGAATTAAATTTGCACAAAGCAGCTTATCCGTTCTATGAATTCAGTTCCTATCCTTTATCGTTTCCTACATAATGTATAAATATTGCTTGTCTCTTGCATAATGGTTATCTCGTGCACTGTGAGTAAATGCAGATAGCTTGGCTTCACAGTTGATTGGCGTTGTGATATTGTGTATGCTACTGCAGAGAGCCCCTGAGGAGCTGCCTAGTGTTCTCTCAAAATTTTAACAAGCAGCACTTCCAACAAAAAGGAGGTTTTGTTCTGAACGTTTCTTTGTTTTGAAGTACACAAGTATTCTGAGTCTGCGGGACTGATAATAGAGTTCGGGTTATGACTGAATATCAGCTTTGACAGTACAGTGTTAGAAAAGAATGTGTTGAAGACTTCTCTAAAATCAAATCACTTCTGATTCAAAGCAGAAATAAACATTTTGGTGTCCTTTTTGTTGAAGACATTAATAGCTACGATATGATAGTTATAAAATTGTTTAACTCCTATAGATAGATTAAAATTTTATTCTACGATTACATGCTGAGAGAAGGATGCAGTGACAGTCTTTCTAAGCATGATTTAGGGAGGTAGGCAAATAACACCTCGCTGCTACTGTATCAAACAGGTCTATGATTTCTTCCTGGATTATAAAATCCTTCAGAAGCTGAAGAGCTGGCTTTAGAGACAAGGGTGGGGTTTTTTTCTTTTGGGGTGTTTTATTTTTAGGATGATAGCGTCCTTATTGTAAATAATGCTTAGGCTGCTTTTCACTAGTGCTCTCAATACACAAAAATATTTAAGACCAAGGTGTGCCTTAGTTGTCCAAACTCCATCTTGCCAGAAATTGTTTTGTTTTCTTTTCGATTAAATTATAACTCAAAGCTAGCATACATTTTATATGTAAATGGATAGGCTGAAGTGTTGGATAAATGATGTTTTTAATTACAGGCAAAGTGATCACACGATACTGCTGAAATATATCTAGGATAACTTAAATCAACTTTCATCTTAATGATTTCTGGTGGTGGTTTATCTTTTAGAGATTTAACCTATATAGAATTAGAATGCTATAATAGAGGAGGAAAAATGCTAAAAGAAGACAGATGATATCGTGGGTTTTTTTCATTTACAATATGTCTCATGTTTTCTTAGGGATAAGTTTATATGGATTTTGTCTTAATATATTGGTATGTATTAATGTGCAGAGTCATTGCTAGAAAAAGGATTAGATCCCTGGGGTGCCATTTTCAGCATACCTTTTGTATGATTTTTACAGACCTATATAAAAATTATTTTTAGTATCTTCAATAAGAATTCAGTAGAATTTTTGTTTGTGTTATATAGATACTTCTCTTTTTTTGTATGTATAAATAGTATGTCAGAACACGAGGCACTGAATGCTTAATTTTTTTAATACTTTTTTTGCAAAACCTTTTTTCAGCTGAAACACTAATGCAAACAAAAATGAAATCTTATTGATTCTGGGTCTGTACAGTGTCTATAAATATCCTTTTTGTATTCCACAAGCGCAATTGATTTAAAGGCTTTATTGAAAAATGCTTCCCTCAGAGCAGACCAGTCAAAAAAAAAAAAAAAAGCATTCACTGCCTGAAAATTCCACATGACAATCACAGGGATAACTCCCATGACATGCTGCATGCTATCTGAAGAGGCACTATGATCCTACTGTGTAAATTTAGGTATTTTGACTTTACCACTTTTGAAAACTAATATAATTTACTTTAATATAATTAATCTTTTCTTTAAATAGTATAAATAAATATTCTATAGATTATAGTATATCACTTAAAAGTCATTAGTACTCTGAATTTGAAGGTCTCTCTTTGTTGTAAATTGTGTACACTTTCAAAGGTCTCAGTGCACTGCAAGCTTTAAGTGAGCTAAGCTTGGGTGAACAAAAGTGTCTTACTATGGAAAATGGGAAACAGAAGAGTTAAACAACTTGCTTATTATGGCCATGTGACCTCATTATAGATACCACATTTTTTTCTTCCGAACATAAAACCATGTATTTCCCCTTAACATTTGCCATGTCACCAAAATTAGCCTTCCTAGAATAATTACAGGACACAAAGAAGTGCTTTTTGATTTCAGATGATAATTGAGTAGTCTGGGTTGTTTTCTGTCTCGCTTCTTTCCTGCTAAATAGTGAAGAAACTGCTTGTTCCTTTTACAGCTGCATTTGACAAGGGTGATGACCGAAGACTTGGCAAAAAACCTGTATTCACTAGTTCTCAGGTAAATATTTATATCCAAACATAAAAAATACTCAGAAGCTTGCAAACAAAACTATTTTCATCATGTGTTTTAAATTGGATATTAATTTATCATATTATTGAATGCAGCTTGCTTTTTGATAAATTTGGATTTTTTGGTCAATTGTTATTTCTGCAGAATCAGTAATGTCCATTGCTGGAAACATCTTAGGACTCAGCCTATGGTCTGCTACATTTTCAAACAGATAAGCTCAAATAAAAGACAGGAATTTGTGTTCAGAATCTCGCATTCCCCTGTTGCTATGTAATGAAGCTGATCTGTTTCCCAGAGCAAATGGTTTGCTACTGAGCTAATGAATCTGTGCTATTATCACAAGCCATCACAGCACTGAGTCTGTTACACTCCCTGCCCTGAACAAATATTTTTTTTAGTGCCCTCAACAACTCTTCTATTGAAACTTACGCTCAAAACTATGTAACTGTTTGGTAGAAAAACAGTATGGGTTTCACATGATTTGATGGTGTTGAATACATTGCAATGACAATGATATTACAAAGACTCCTTTTCATGCACTTAATTCTACATGTTTCAGTATTTCTCTTTACCTGAGAGAGAAAATAAATATTGTCACTTATCTGTTGGTAATGGTTAAAGACATCATGTGTATTATAAATTCATTTTTGGTTTTATATTTGTAGTAATTCACTGTCTTTATTCCTCTTTGGAAAATATGCACACACAACTCAAAAAGTTTTCTCACTTCAGCAGACACTACTAATATAAATAAATATTGCAGAGTAATTTGCCCAAAGTAAAAGTGAAACTCTACTGAGATATTTCTATATCCTCTATATAAAGCAGTTTTCCACATCAGATTTACTAGGCATTCAAGTTATTTCTACTACTTCTGTATCTTTGAAAGTAACCAATCTGAGCTAAAATATAATCTCTTTAAAAATTATTTCTAGACTGAATCTTGTTGCTTTAGGTTCATGTACTACTTAAGAAGTAGCTGTGTTTCAGAAAGGAAAGATTATGGATAGTTTGGTGTTATGAATGTCTTCTGTTTGTTGGATTTTGGTTTTTTTCCTGATGCTTTTTTTTTGTAGCTAAACAAATCTGTTACTGAATCTGCTGGTATAAGGAATACTTCCCAGACAGAACACGGCAAGAAAGATTGCTGCGGAGATTCTTCCACTAATCAGGATAAAATGAAATCTGATGGATTAGGAGCATCTGGACATACATCAAGCACCAATAGAAACACTGTTAATAAGGCTTCAAAGCATGAGGATGTAAAGGGGAAAGATGGTAAAAAAATAGTTTCCAAGATTACTAAGGATTCAAAACCTGGGGAAAAAGCTGCTTCACCAAAGGCTAGAGCTGTTATAAAGACAAAAATAGAAAATAATGGAAATGTGAAAGCTGAAAGCATGCTTACCAAGCAAGATACAGAAAAGACATCATCTGCAAGTGGACAGAAAAATTCAGGAAGTGGCAAAGGACTGAAGAACCATGAAGGAAAAACTGCAGGTGCCAGACCTAAAGTGCTGACAGTAACCTCAAGCGTGCAGATCAAAACAAAACCATTGAAAAAATCCACAGGGAAGGAGTCTCCCTCCTTAGTAACTGTGGCAGGAACTTCCAGCAAGTCAGCAAACTCAAGCATAGACATCCAGGCTGCCAGTGAACAGACAGAGGAACCCAAAGAGGATAAACTGGTAGAGGAAGGGAAAAAGCAAACTGGTAATAAATTTTTTAAGTCCCCTTCTTGTTTGTCCTAGGCTGGCCATACACTGAAAACCAGCCTGGGAAGCTTTAAAAAAAATGTACTGTAGACTGATGAGTTACCTTCTTCCCCGGTAAATGAATGTTAACTTGAGATAAGAATATTAAATTTCTCCTCTATTAACTGACTTTATTTTATGATCAACTGATAACCATATAAAATGGTTAAAGTTTAGCATCTGTGCTCTTTTCAATACCCGATCTTCATTATTTGAATTTTTTCAGTACTTAGATACAATGCATCTTCCCCTATAATTAACTTTGAATTTACTTTACTATAGTGAAAACAAAGCCATCTGTGAAGACATCAAATGGAGTCACCAACAAAAAAAAAAAGACTGAGCTTGAGGCTAACATCACAACAAGCAGGTACTAAATCAATATGCTGCTTTACGCTGATAAAAGTTTCAGGTGAACTATTAAACTTGCTGTTAAATCAACATGTTCTTTCTAATCTGAGAATGGTTGTCTATTGTATGTTATTAGGCAAACAATTTGAGTTGGCTATTGGAAACATTGCTGTAAAGATAAAAATGGTCTGGCTTTTGTGTTGGTTTGTTTAATGCTAATCATTTTAAAATTGTTATAGGTCATTCAGAATTCCACACCCTGGAACAGTTAATGACTACACAAGGTGTTGTAAGCTTATAATTTCTGGGATACCTTAGATTAAACTGGATAGGAAGACAGCCGAAGCACTGTGAAATTGTGAAAAGGGTCATGTATATATGTGTGTATATATATATACACACACAGGTTTTATTTTCAACAAGTGTACCATTTAGGTTGCTTTTACCATGTTTATATATGTGGGCATATTAAAACATATTGCGTGTTTAAATATAGTTAAACATTGCTCTCTTTTGCTGGGAAATAATGGATGTTATAATTTCTTTGCAGTCTGACAAAAAAATCAACTGGAAAAGGGTGTAATGAGCAAAATGTACAAGCTGTTCTAAAGAAAAAAGGAAATGTGAGTAGCAATTCTGCAGCACAGCAAAAGGCTCAAACCACACCTATCAGCTCTCCCAAGAACCAAGGTAAAGTTTCATACAGCAATGAAATAGTGCCATTATTATGCAAAGCTTTGTCATCTTTTTTTTTTTTCTTTTAGTGCAAGCATTTGGCAAAATCTTCTGAACAATTCTGTTTATTTTCCATATTTCGCTTTTGGTGATGATCCTAAACTGTAGAATGCAAATGAATGCGTGTCAAATTCAAAATTTTTCAAAGATGGTCTTCACTGCCAATTGCTGGTTTTCTACTGCTTGTTTAATCTGCTTTGCAGAGCCTTTTATTTGCTGATCCCCTGCACTTCTGCACTTGGAACCATGACTGAGTTCTACAGAAATTCTGTAGGTCAAGCATTTATAATATGCATCAAAGATCTGGACTGCAGACTTCTTTATGAATTGTTAGTTTATGCCTCCCTTTTTTAGTGACACCCCCCCGGGGTAGCACTACTCATACTGATCTACCCCACAAATGAATACTTGATTTCAACAGCTGTTTGTGGGGGAATCAAGTGTGAGAAGTGACACTGCAGATCACAGAGAGGAAACCCTGCTTGATAAAAAGTGTTACGGATGGAGCTCCTTTCAATCCCATTTGGACTTGGCACTTACTAGGCAGGGAAAGGACTATTCAAGTTATATTATCTTAAATGCATTATGATACAGAAAACACAGGTCCTGTCAATTTGTGGTCATTAAAGATCTTGCAGTATTTTCCGACTGAGCAGGGGTATTAATTCTGGTATTCTAATCGCGTTATAACTAATGTAATTATTTTCTGCCTACTTTCATTTCCTCTACAATGTAAATTGAACACAGTACTCATCACTTCCTGTGCTAAGCTGCTGTGCAGTGTTTCTGTGCACTATTAGAGAGCTGCTGCTTGCTGCTCAGGGATGACTACTGCAATTCCAAGTTGAAGCAACTCCTTTATGTACAGTCCATAAAGTGTTTTAGTTTTAAAGACAGCATGAAAGTGTAAGATAGTATTTTTGTCTAGTATTTGTTTAAGATCTCAATTCTTAATACTTTAATAAGCCTTAAATCATTCAGTTACATAACAAGTTGAGTAACTTGCTTCTCAACATATCTAAACACTAACATAAATTTGGTGAATATACTTTGGCATATAGAATCTTTACAATCTTTTTTTACTGTTTGTTAGGACCTCAGGGGGAATCACCAAATTCACTGAAATCAGGAATGTCTCCAAAACATAATGAAGAAAAAAATGTGTTACAACATCTGGCTCAGACAACACTCCCAGAAAAACATCCTTCAGCCAAGAAGAAGAGCATTAAGCAGTCACAAACACCTGTAGCAAAAACCACTGCAAAAATAACACCTAAAACTCTGGCTCCTTCAAAACATGCTGAAATTACGAGTAATAAAGACGCAAAACCAAAAACAACTGGGCAAGCTGCGTTAAAATCTCAGTCCTCTGGCCAAAAGCATTCAAGGAGTGAATCTCCTGTTGTCCAGAAGAATGTGCACTCCTCTGAGCGCAGAAGTTCAGGACAGAAACTTGAAAAAAACATGGCCAATGCTGTGGCAGGCCAACTTCATGATGATAATGAATGCTATTCTGCAAAGCAAAGTGAATCTTTAAAATCTGTGATGGAAAGCAAAGATAAACTGCTGGTGTCCTGTCAACCCACTAAACAAAAGTTATCAGATCCTTCTGAAAATGGGGAATACAAAGTACAATCTGAATCTTCTCCGCTAATTACAGAAGAAACTATTTCTAAACTGCATGTTTCAGTGCAAAGTGAAAAGGAAGCAAGGCAAATCTGTGGAGATGAAACTGGAATTAAACAGATTGAAGGTACGGAGAAAGATGATAATACAGCTGAATTTCACTTTCATGCACAATCTTCCAGTGATGGATACTCAGACTTTTCCAAGGAAACCAATCAAAAAGCTTCAGGAGAACTAGTGAAACATTCAAAAGGAACAACAGTCTGTACTGAACAAAGTGATAAATTAAACCCTGAAATGGGTCTTAACTCTGGTGAAAATGCTTTGCTAAGCTTTTCTAGAAGGATAACCAATAAGGAGGATGAGATGTCATCTCCTCAGATGCACATGGAAGAATTTCTTACAGCTGATGAGCTGTGTGATACATCAGCCTTTAATGAATACAAATCAGTTACAGCAGATTTAGATGATGTTTCAGAATGTTCCACAGAACAAATAACAGAAAAATATTCACCCAGTTACACAGAGTCTATAGATCCCACAGAAATGCCCGAAAACCATGAAAATGCAGAAATTCCCTTCGTGGACCACTGGAGTACTAGTGCACTAGATCCAAAAGAAAGTCCTGAATCAGATACTGGCAGTGCAACCACATCCTCTGATGATATAAAACCAAGATCAGAAGATTATGATGCTGGAGGCTCTCAGGATGATGAAGGATCCAATGAAAGAGGGATTTCTAAATGCAGCACTATGTTGTGCCATGATTTTCTTGGAAGAAGCAGCAGTGACACAAGTACGCCTGAGGAATTAAAAATATATGACAGCAGCCTAAGAATAGAAGTAAAAATGAAAAAAGAGGGCTCTGATCTCTTCCGTGTTAATTCAACGAGCGATGATGAAATACCAAGAAAAAGACCTGAAATTTGGTCCCATCCAGAAAGTGCACGGACCAATAGTAGAGAAAGCAAAAGTTCTACTTTCGGCAATGCACAGTTTACTCAGGAAGCAGACCAAGTTTCTTCTTCTGCTGATGAAACAGAAGATGACAGATCTGAAGCAGAGAATGTTGCAGAAAACTTTCTTCCGTCAAATGTTCCTACTCAACAGTTCCAAGGAATTGATAATTTAGCTTTTGAAGATGCAACAGAAAATGATTCTGCAAGTAAAGAGTTTTCTAAAACTAAACATTTCAAACGATCTGTTTTACTTTCAGTAGATGAATGTGAAGAATTGGGATCTGATGATAGAGTGGAAACTCGTACTTCACGTCAGCTTTCAATAGATTCTCTTACTCCTTCAGAAGTATTTGACAGTGTTTCTCAAGAGCACCATGGAAATACTTTTTATTCAAGATACTCACTGGAAATTGAAGATGGATTCCTGGATTGCAAACAACATAAGGATAGAGACAATAGATCGGATAAAAGTGAAAGCTCTCTCCTACATCTTCATGATACTGAAATCCCAGGGAAGGAGAATCAAGGTGCTCCAATGAATCAACAGAATTGCCCAGAGAAAGTCTATTCAGCAGCTAGTCCGTGTCCAGGAGAAAAACAAATAGTAAATGTGAAGAACGAGGTGGCTAGTGAATTTCACCAGTGCAATAAATACTTAGACAATGATGCAAAATCTCAAGAAAGGCCATGTCATTTGGATCTTCATCAGAGAGAATCTAATTCTGATGTGCAAAAGAGCAGCTCTGCAAAACCTGTAGACGCCAGTAAGAATCAGATACTGACTCAGGAAGGTCAAGTGAGAGACAGTCAACCAGCAACTGCTGAATGCGCTAATACTGATTTACTTCCAGGTAATGTACAGAAATAGAAACATTCAGTCATTCAAAAACAAATTATTAGGGAAAGCTTTGACAATTTGTCTGGGATTGAATCCTGAACTGAATTAATTTTTGGCTGAAACTATATTAAATTTAAATATTTTTAAGTATTTCACTTGGGTAGAGAATGCTTGTCTGTTTGAAATATCCGTCAATACCCTGCTGTTCAATGAGAAACTTGACTACAAGAAAAAGAGATTTTATGTAATGCTAAAAGAAAGATTGGATGCAGTTGTCGGTACTTCAGTTATTTTTGATCCAATCTAACATTGACAGCATCAGCTTTTGATGGAATCTTAGTATTTGTTTTGTCTGCTTGACAACATGTAGTATGTCTGAATGGGATGTGCAATAACTACAGTAATAACCTTAACTAAAGCGCACTGAACTGTTTACCCAAACAGTTATATGCATTATTGTTGTAATTTATTTATTTATATATTATACACAAATTTGGATCCTCCTTCCACTGAATATAACTGTGTATTTGCCATATGCATCAGTGGGAGCAGGTTTGAACTCTGATTTAGAGCTTATGAGATGTCTAAAATTCTAAATTTTACCAGTAAAAGCTTATTTCCTAAAAGAGAGATTATACTTAGAACTAATGCTTATATAAAGAAAAGTTCTAACTTGTTTCATGTAGCTAGATGAATACTTGTCTAGTTTTGTGTTTTGTCTTCTTTATATCAATATTCAGTCTGTTTATCCCATCAAAAATATACAATAGTGTTGATTACAGCTATTGTGTATTCAGAGTAATGAAATGCTGATCATGATCTATGTTCAGCCAGACCACAGAAAAAGAAGACATTAGAAGTCTGTACTATTTTTTTTTTAACTTTGCTTGCCCTTGCCTGCAGCTGCCCTTGCATGTGCAGTGTAGAAATAAGCCTGTGGATAAACAATTTTGGTTTTAATTCTCTTGTAAGCTGACATAGTTTAAGTCACCATTTAGTAATCATTCTCTATTAATTCCCTCCATGCACCTCCTGGTCTAAATTTAATTTATGTAGTAAATAAGAAATTCCATGTGCATTAAGTGTATATTTACATTGTCATTTTCTGTATCAGAAATTTAATTATGGAGGTTATTGTTAATTACCAGTGGTGATTGCTGCTTTAACTTAATTTATAAATCATACTTTGGTTTTTATATAGGAAATAAATGCCTCAAATTTTGTCAATTTTGTATAACCCTCCTTCCCCCCCCTTTTTTTAACCTGGTTGGATTGTCCTTCCTGAATGAGTTAAATTTTGTTCTACACAGCCCTGAGGGGAGGATCATCTGCAATTTTTACATTGTACAGTATTGTGAATTATTTCAGGAGACATAGATGATTATGACACAATGGCACAAACCTGCATGTATGAGCATCGGCCTTCAAAAACCCTTTCTCCAATATATGAGATGGATGTTGGAGAAGCAATTGAGCAGAGGATGGATTCAGAAACAGCAGTTCTAGATGTGGATTTTGAAGATCAGCAGTTTGCAGAACAGGACTGGACTCTTCTCAGGCAACTGTTATCTGAGCAGGACTCAAACATAGGTTTCAAAAACTCTGTTCCTGAAGACCTTAACTTAGCACAATGTCTTATCAATCAGACACTGTTTCTGGCACGAGATGGTTCGAATCCTCAGGGTACATCACAAGTTGACACATTCAGTAGGTGGACTGAACTAATATCTCCACTTGATGACTCTTCAGCAAGCATTACAGTGGCAAGCTTTTCATCTGAAGACTGTTCGTCCCCTCAAGGGGAATGGACAATTCTTGAACTGGAAACCCATCATTAGCGTGATCAAATGTTTGCAGCTGAACTCCAACCCATTCCCTAAATCTATTTTTGATGAGTTGTTTCCGTACAATAATGAAATACTGCATCAGTCAAGAACAAGCGATTCTTGATACTGAGGCAATCTTTCTGATATAATGAGGTAAATATGTTAATTTATAATCTAGATTTAACCACACGTACAATAATTTTTCAAGACTTAACTGTATGTCTTTTCTAAAAATGAACTTTGAGCATGTATTTTCTAGAATTGTTAGTAAAAATTAGATGACGTGAGAGAAAAATCTTGGTTTCCAACATCCCTTTCATCTTCCTTTCTGACATTTAATAATCTCTTTGACCAAGAATTTAAAGATGACTGCACAATAAGTAGAGCTATTCCCTTCCTTCCTCCCCCAATATGGTGACTTCATTTTTCAACAATAAAGATTCAGAATGGTTGTGTCGAAAGATGATGTGTGACAACACTGCTTTAAATGATAGAAACATAATCTTATGTTCAAAGAAAACTTTTCAATATGAATCTGCCTTGGGCCTTACTAATATGAGCAGCTTGTTTCATCTGTTTCTTCCAGATTTGATTTTTGTATTTTTGGTTTGGTTTGTTTAGCAGTTTCCAATAAATTCTTTAAATTGTCTTTCCTTTAAATAAGACTTCAGAGGGTCTGTGCTATAGGAAGAGCACTATTTCTTTCTTGGAAATGCACATATTTAAGTAAATGTTTTTAATGGCATAATGCATGAATTCAGAGGAGTTTGTAGGATGCTGCTCCTGTTTTAAAATAGTATGTCTGATATCTCCAAAAGTGTATCTCAGTCTGAAGTCGTGGTCAGTGTTCCATTGGAAGTCTGACCTTGACTAAAATTACCTTCAGGCTTCGGTTCATTACATTTGGTTTTGTTTGATCACTTAAATGCTACATTTTTTGGAGGGGTAATGGGATTCTTGCCTCTTCATTAATACCTCCAGTGTAGCTTTTATAATGAAACTAACTATCAACATAACCATTCTTCTGACTAAGAGTGAAATAGGATATACTTCTCAGTACTGCTCATTCTGCTACTTTTGGCTATTAATTTGGGTGTGGATGGGACTGTTTATTGTCTTTTTTAATTTGACAGGGAAGGAAAGGAGTGAGAAGTTATTTTTCTATTTGTAATTTTTACTAGGTCAGAACTTCTCCTGACACACATAGGGTGTTTTCCCTGCTGATGTTAGGCCCTTAGTTGATATCTGCATTATGGAAATAGTAGGGCTTGTCTTTCACACAGGTTAAAATCTAAACAGGGAGTATTCTACCTCCTCTTTGTTATTAACAGAAGTGCCTTTGGAAGTGGCTGCCATATGGCAGTAAAAGGCAACTAACATTTTTTTTGGTTAAAACTACTTAAGTGCACAACATAAGTTAGCTGTAACCACTGATAATATGGTCAGTTTCGTCAGCTTTAGCACAGTTCCAACAGTGCACCTCAGTTTTCTCCAGAAACTTCCTTTCTTTTTGTTCATAGCCAGAAACTCAGTTGTGTGGAAATACAAAGTTGCCCCAGCATATGACTAAAGAAATGATGACTTGTCTTATCTTTGGACTTGACATAATAAAGAGCTCCAAGGCAAAACAGTTTATCTGCAAAGCTGCTTTGTTGAACTTCTGATACATAAGTAAAATTGATGTTTTATTTTCCCCAAATTAAATGGAGAATTTTATCTCATTCTTTTAAATCAAGGCAGGAAACAACAACAACAAAAAAAAGGTAAGCCTTGCTTTCTCTTTATAATGAAGGAGGACCCAAAACTCAATAAAATCTTTTCCCTACTTTTTTAGCTTTTAGGACAATAAATAGTCTGAGATACTGTAATGCAAAATATTTTAAATGTCATATGCTGTATTTACCCCAGTCTTCGTATTGGGTGAGTTAGAACATTTAGAAGTGCAAATGATCACGCAAACCTGTTTTTCACCTTCAAGTTTATAAGGCATATCAAGGCTGGATAATCTTTTGGATGAATCAAAGAACTACAGTATTAGCCATAGTAAAAAATTAAATTCTTGAGAAGTTCTGACAGAAGGCTGAGGAATGGTGGTGTCTCACTTTCTGTGTAAAAGACTAAAGTAAAAGTTGTTTTAAAATAAAGTTTAATCAACCTTAAAATCCTGATGATATTCTGGTAGTGGGCATTCACATGTTAAACAAAATGAAAAGATGGAAAATAAAAGACAAAGGATTAGGAAAAGTGACAAAGTGAAAGAAGGGTCCCTTTTGTCTATTTTTTCCTTTAGCAATATTTTTTAACTTCATACTGAATTGAAAAGTAACACTGAAAAGTGGAACGCAAAGTTCCATGTTGGTCACACAAAATACAATCATGTATAGGGGTTTTTTAATAGTTTTTTTTTCTTTGCATTTACTTTTCCAGTTGTATGCAAATTTAATTAGCTTCTCTCTTCAAGTCCCTAGTGACACTGCAGTTCCTTTAATAGTTTTGCAGTAGACCAGTGATGAGGATTTGGTGTATTGTTCAGTTGATACATATGCAGCCATAGAATTCAGCTTCCCACAGCCAAGTAGTCTCTGTAGAAGCAGCAGGAATAGAAAGCAGTATTGTTTCTAATTTGCGTTACCAGAGTGCCTGTGAGGCTTAATCAGACCAGCATCCCACTGGCTAGACATTGTACAAACACAGAATAAAAACAAGGACTTCCCTCAGAGTGGTTGTAATCCAAGTTAAGACTAACGACAAAAAAAAAAATATGGATGGAAAGGTAAAATGTAAAATGAGAGTGTCAATGTTTGCCTAGCTGATTAGCAATGGTTTCAGCACACTATCAGTATAAATATTGTCATTTTTTTATTCTGTGTGCATTCTGAGAAGGGAAAATCAGAGGGTACGATTTAGAGGCTGGATAATGAGGGAGCTGTAAGAAGCTAATATTCCTGACTAGCCATTTGTGTCATCTAAACTGTTCCTGGTTCACCTTGTTCAGTAGTCCTCCCTCATTCAGGGGGGTGTTCAAGCTTTAAGCAGGTGTAGGTGGCAGTCTGTTTAATAGTGTCAGTCACTTGAGTTCTCTGGAGTCCTGCTCATGCCTCCTGACAGTGATTTTCCCACTGTGTTGGCCTCTTCTCCAAAACACAAGAGAATGGACAAAGGTTTGTTTGAAAATTTCATGTACTAACAATACAAGCTAGTGTCATGGGCTCCAAGTGAATAGTGATAAAGAGGTCCTGAATGACCTCTGCAGTAAAGACAAGGTATGCATAGCTGATGAAACAGTGAGAGGGCATCGGTGAAGTAAGATGGTATAGTCAATTTTAAGAATGTACCTTTGCATAAGTATTTTGAATGAGTAAGAGCAGTGAAATTGCTTTGTCAAAACCTGAGAAGACAACATTTCAGTCAACAGGTGATATTGGCAGCTTACGTGAGATTGTGAATGGATAAAGGTGTCTCTCTCTCCTACAGTTAGTAACACGAAATTTAATGAACCATCAGCGAAATTTGGAGGAGAGGACTTGGAAGTCAGAGTTTAAGATAATGACCCTGGTTTTGCCTACTTTGAATGATATTTTATGAAAGTGACAATTAAGGAAGGATGGTTTATGTGTATGGAATGTATTAAGTTTAAAATTGCTAGACCTCCAAAAGGTGATGCCGATAGTCATAACGACTTTTCTTTACTTGGAAAAATTAGAGTCTAGTCTGGACTGGAGAAGCAGCCCTGCAGGTTTTTCATATATAGATGCTAGCTAAAATAGTGTTTGTGGAATAAATCACTGGTAGACATACTGTAGAGGGAAAAAGAGAAGGAAATGGAGGCCCAAATGCTCAGATCACTAGAGACTGAGGAAAGTGGAGGTTCTTCCAAATTATCTGCTCAAAAAAAAAAAAAAAAAAAAAAAAAAAAAA